TATATATATATATATATATATATATATATATATATATATATATGTATACATTGTCACTGTCTGATGTTCCAAAAGTGCTAAATTAATTATGTATATGAATTTTATTGATTACATTGTTATTGTAATTATATTACAGTCATTTTTATGGTGCAACTTGTGAGAGTGGGGAGTACCAAGATGGCGGCAGGTGACTTCAGCTTTTTTTGGCCTTTTTCCAGTGGATAAATAGAGATTAGTGGTCCTGACAAAGTCTGACCATATAATTGGAACTTAAGAAAACTTTTAACAAATCGTTGTGCATGATTTAATTGAAGCGTCTCCATTAAGCACCTTGAGATAACATGTTGGGAATTAGCCATATATATATCAAAAATTAATTAAAACTGAATTGCAAGAACTGTTCAATAGAGGATAGAAACAGCCACTTCATTCCTGAAGAGACGACCTGGTTGCATGGTAGATCAACATCAGTTGAATAGATCAGATTAAACATATCCCTTTATTTTGACAGTCTGCTCAAAGCTAAACATGTTTTCTTCCAGGAAGGTCATGCATCCTTTGGACAAGAAGGTCAAAGCTTCAAATATCAGCCTGTGGTGTTTCTTGCAGGAGTTAACATGTTGTCTCCATGCATATGGGGGATCTCTCTGGGTATTCCAGCTTCCCTCCACTGTGAGATAAACTGTTCTCTTTTAAAAATTTTCTTTGAATTTTTTTCATCCCACCTCTAGCAGAAACTTCTTACTGTGTCCTTTCAAAAAAAAGTGACGTTTGTGTTTGTAACATTACCAAAATAAAGGAAAGTGAAAAAGACATGATTACTTTTACAAGCTTTGCTGTCAGAGCTGCACTGCAGACAACAAACATTGCAGCTCGAGAGGCTAAAAAAAAAAAAAAGTATTAAAGAAACAAGCTTTAACAACAAAGAAAAACCATTTAAAATAAAAACCCTTACGTAATTTAATTGTCAATCCAACCGCTACTCCAACTGAGGATTTATTTGAATCCTCAACTTACATGGTGAAATACAAAGAGTGGACATAATGTTAAATCTTTGCTGAGGTTATTCAGTGAAACAAAGAAAAATGTTCTGGCTTAATAAACTCAGTTTTATATAACATGCAGTTTTACAGATATAGAAGCAGTAAGAAAAAAAATATTCTGAGGGACTCATCACATTCATATCAAAAGTTTCTGGTCACCTGTAATGATTAAAAATAAAATCTTTATCATAATAAAAAGGCTCAGCTCCGTTGGGGCTCTAAAGTGCACAGAAAACATCAATTCCACTAAATCCATATAACCATAACTCAGACCCTGTATCTTTTATTCTTCTGAACTCCTGTCTTAACCCTGATAAAATATATGTTTATTAAATGATAAGAAGGTTTAAAACATGTTTCACATTTGCTAAATGAAGAGGCACAAATAAATGTGCTGAGAATAGTAAATAAAAGACGTGAAAAGAGGAACATTTCGAAATAAATCAAAATGATTGCATCAGTGTTTTGGGTT